CAGGAGGATTACCTGGGCAAGATGATTTTCTCTTCCGGTGTTAGAAAGGCATAATCATTGAAGGTACTAAACTTCATTGATGGTGGGTACTTGAAGGGCTTTGCCCCAAAGTTGAACTCACACTGTTGATAGGACATGAAGCTCGCTGCAGCAAAAAAGCCAGATCTGCAATGTGATGAACAGATGTTTTAGAATGACTTACAGTAGAGCTTTCCAGGCATGTTACTACTATTACCACACAAAAATATACACTGAGACAGAGACAAGTTTCTTCCATACCAGTGTTCTGCACATAACTGGGAGAACATCCAGTTTCAGCTGAACCTACTTACCTTGTTTAGTTCTCAGCTCCTGAATTCACTATCAGGGTTTGTCTGAATTTCCTACTGAGTCAGCCAATAAAGGCTGCCTATTCTGCAGCCAGGATTAGTCACACTTACCCCACGAGCAGATACACCTAAACTGCCTACAACCTGACCTTCCTTACACTGATCAGCTCAGGTATCTCCTTCAGCACTGGAAAAAAAACGTATTTTTCTTCCAAACAGCTGCTGTTAGCAGAGCTGTGAGGAGCAGTACCAAGTGCAAGGAACACCTCCATATCCACTGCTCCTTCCGCTTTATCTGAGCAGGCACAAAGCTGGGGAACCTGCAGCTCTCATACACTTGCTGTGAGGGACCTGTGCAGGAGGAACCCAGGTCTGAACTCCCTCAGCACAACACCCACCTGTTCCTCCTTGCCCATGCAGGATTACCTCAGGACAGCTGCTTTTTCATCACAGCCACACAAGACACCTTGTAAAAACACTGTAGCCTCTTTCAAATTGATTTACTGAGAGGGACCAAGTTCAGTAATATGCTAAGTGTATCAATGACAAACTCCATATGCAGAACAGAGCACTGCAAGCTGAATAGACAAGATACTGTGCTACTCTTTGAACTGCTCTTTGCTTGCATATTGAACTTCATTTTGAGGAGAAAACATGGAGGAAATTATTAGCACAGTAGATTAATTTACAAAGTACCATAATGTTTAATTAAGCAGCATAGAAGGCTGCTTGCTCAAGTATTACACCAGCTTATCTTCTCAGAACTAAAAGGCTGCAATTCCCTAGGAGAGTTAGAGGAGTCAGCCATATGTTAATTTTAACAAGAGTTGGCAAAATAAGCCTAACACCTTTCTGCAATGCTACCAAGAGACATCCTCTGATGAATATTCAGCATGCTGCTCCCGGCGCTGGCCCCAGTGGATGGCAGTCAGTTCATAAGCACTCCTCAGCATTTACAGCACTGAGGCTTTAGTTTTTAAGATCAAAAATTCCTCAAGCACCAGAAAATTGTTCATCTTTGCTACAACCTCGTTCTATTTCAATGCTGTGCTAATTTGACAGGAGAAAACATCAGGTGCAATCTGCCTTTGTAGAGTCCAAAGTATTTATTTTAGACCCTGAAATCCACCTGTAAAATTATATCCTTCTTACTGATCTCTAAGCAACTTTCAGCTGGGAATCCTGCATAATGATGGCTTCAGGTAGAGTAAATATGAATTTACATCTCAAATTGGACACCCTTCATATAATTAAAACAATTATCTGTAGAGGTCATGTCCTTCCAAACGAGCAATACTTACACAGCAGACGAAAATACTTGCTTCTCAGCAGGGAGCTGGTTTCCATTTAAATAGAAGATCATTTGCTTTTCTTGCAAGTCTAGTAGAAATCCTATTGTGTCTCCTTACATGCAAAACAAAGATAATTTAAACATTCCACTTCTGTTAAATGCTAACAGCTGAAACAGTTATTGTTTCAAGTATTACATATGTCACTGTGAGTTGTCTCACTTAAAAGGAACTGTTTGCAAAAGCACAAAGGAAGAAACATTGATACAGACAGTAAAAAGAAAAAACAAGCCAGGAAAAATAGTACAAAAATAAAGTATTTTAGTCTGCCAGAGCATTAATAACTACATAGTTGTAGGAGTATTGCAGAGTATTTGCCAAAACCAGATGAAACACTGACACTCCTTGGCTACTTTACACCTGTTGAAGATAGACTTTAGCAAGTGTGTGTGTTCTGGGGATATATTTCTAATATGCTTGTGCTGTTTATTTCTAAGAAGTGTTTGAACTTAGCCATCCTTGGGAAAAGGTTTTAATAGAGAAGGCAGCACAGTTCACACAAGCATGGCATGCACAGACTCCTACTAAGATTTCAAAGCTGAGATCAAGAACAGAACTTTGCTGTCCAAGTAGTTATCCAAGAATTAAAAGTAAGCAAGACAGTGCAACTCCTCCTTAAAAAAAAAAAGTCTAATTCAGAGATCAAGGTTTTTTTCCCCTTCTAAAATAACACAGAAAGAAAGATTTCAACTGTGTTTGGTAGGACTACAAACATCTGGAAAAAAGTCATAATGATTAAATGCCCAGTGTTAATTGGTGCTATTATTTGGACTCTATGAAAAGAAAAAGGATTGAAACAATTAGATTTTCTTTACACAGATTGGGGAACAGGACTGCAGTGCTCACTTGGCACATTTAAACCACTATTGAAGACAATAATTATTAAACCTCCAGGATCATCAGGATTAGGCAGTAAACTGCTCTGTTCACACCGACTAACAGACACCTGCAAGAGGAAAAAAAAAGTTCCTGTGCAGAAATCCAGTTAGCATAAAACAGCAGAAGATGGACTGAATACCTTCTTTCCAGCAGGGATGGGAATGTGGTTTACTTCTGGCATTGTACCAAATGAGCTGCCGACAGCCATCGTATGCACAGGAGTACTCATCGTCCCCAATGCCATAACCTTCCTTCAGACAGAGAGTGAAGTGTCAGTCTGCAGCCATTCCTCACACACAAGGGCTAGACTTTATTTTTTTCACCCAAATCACTCACCCAAGGGCAGGAAGGATTTCTCCCTCCCTCACGGGGGTAATTTTTTTTTTGAAAACTACTCAGTTTCATTTTCACATCGAAAGAAATTTGTTGGGGAAAGGGAGGAGGGGAGAGGGGGATATTGCTTTCTAAGTGTTTTCCATTCTCTGTGACCTCAAATCACTCCTGTCTGTTAAAATCTGTAATGAAGAAGGCTAGTAGCCAAATAGTCACAGTAATTTTTTGCAACTGGAAAGGTCACCACAGCAGCTTATCAACTCCTATCTCGTAGTCACAGTACATTACTTGTACTACTTTCCCCCACGACAGCCATGTGCCACCAGAACCTGCAGCACACAGAGAACAAACCCACAACCTCCTCACTGAATATGTTGCATATTGTGTCCCTTTCAGGGCCAGCCTTCCCCAAACTGTGAAAGCATTTTCAAGTAATAGTCCCAAGGTCCAATGCAAATGCAAAACTAAGAGATTCAGAGTGGAAGAAAATTGTCATGTAGCAGAGCTCAAACATGAAACCCCAAAGCACTGTTGAAGGTAACTTCCTTATGCTCAGCATGGTTTGTCTGGAGTGTAAATACCAGACAGGGTCTGATTACACAAGCCTCCCATGTCCCAAATTAAAGCTAAGCCTGGCTAATGGGTGTTTAATGTCACATTTAAGACTAGTATTTTTGTTACACATGCTGTAAATAAAGAGCATATGGCTACTGAGGCCTCTGTTTGGGACATACCCAGGAGGTGATAGCCTTGTATTTCAGGGACACACCTGATGAACTTAAGTAACAATAGCATTTCGCCATCAGCAAAACAGCAGCAGCAACAGAAAAACCATCCTGCTCAGAGATGTGACATCTCCCATTTTTGTACTTTGTACAGGATGAACTCACAGAAAAATGCACATACACCAAGCTCCTTACCAGCAAGTGGGAAAAAAAAAAATCTTTTAAGCCTCTTAGCAGTCTAAAGGCAGACACATGGCCATTTATTTCAAACAGTTTCTGTTACACTCAGCACAGAGCTGCACGGTATTTGTGTTTGGTTGGGGCTTTTCTTTTGTGTGCAGTTTATTCTTTTATTGAAATTCAGTCACAATCCCAAGCCAGAAATGTGGGACTGGACTCTGGATGCGACAGAGAGATGCATGTTCTACACCAGCAGAGGACAGTGCTATTTACATGAGCAATTCAGAGAAATGGAGCAAGACCTCTGAACTCATAGGAAGACTTAAGTTAAATGGTGAGGAGAGGTGGTACTCCATTCCTGTTGGGTTTCTTGCCACTGGTGTTGGTTTCATCTCCTTGATGTATTTCTCTTACAGCCACCACCACCAGTGTTTACTCATATATGTATTTGGCCTATCTTCATATTAAGTTTCTGCATTTGACTCAGCTGTAGAATGATTTTCTATACTACTTAATATTTCTATAATATTTAACTGCTTATCTCTACATTAAATATGTAATTCTTCTCCCTAACTAAATTCCAAGTAGGAACAGAAACCCATGCAATCACAGTAAAAAAGAAGGGCAACAGGTGCATTTCTTACTTAAGCTCAGCCAGTAGAAGTGTCAACTTAAAATCCCAGTGCTGTTTCCATTCTCAGCAGTAGACCAAGCCCAACACACCTTTTGTCCTAAACTTCTAGCTCGCACTTCAACAAACTCTAATGGTCATTTGGAAGGTTGATAAGATAGAAAATCAGCTCTAAGCTGAAGTAGACAAGTTTTTTTTGGTAGTAATCATTATACTTTCTAACTGTTATGGAAATACTGAAGCAAATGATGCTACAGCACACAAAGTTTCTAACATCCATATAGAGTTACCACGAAGACTTAAGAAGTCCTAGGTACATCTCTATGATGACTGACTATATTTGGGCTTCATGTGCACATGACACATTTTGCTTTATTGCTAGCAAGTACATAATCTTAAAAGTAAAGGAAGAAGAATACTTAGAATCAAGAATAAGATACAGAGTTATCTGGATGAGAAGGACAGCAAAGCAAACTATAAAACAAGACAGTGTTCTTATTGTACACTATCAGAAGAAAGGGCAAGAAAGTTTAATCCTTTTGTAATCCTTATTTTTAATTAAAGAAGCTTTCACATACCCCAGCTGTACCATATTGTTGCTACCAGCAAATCCAAGGATACCATGCTATCCCAGAGGCAATTTAAATAAGTTATTTCCCTTCTGAAAGTTAATTTAACACGAAATTATGTTAAAGAGGGTAATAAAATGGCTGCTTAGTGACCTGTGTAAAAGACAGCGCATGATAAACTGCTAGTTCTGAGCGAGTTATTGTTTACTTCAAAAAACAGACAGTAACCACTGATATCTGAACAATTTCCAAGAAGAGACTAAGCCACAAGAAATAAGTTCCCTGTGGCTTCCACACAACTGCAAGTAGATAAGAAGCTGTCACTGTTAACAGCTCTGCATGACTTGTGTGAAAGTGTCAGTCTGTGGCAACAACAATACAGACTTCTCTTGTACCACCAAATTCAGCAAAACCAGCTTCACAGAAGTACAGGAAAATGGAAGGAAACAAGGGAATGCTCAGCTACCACCATAGAACAACCAGAGCTATTTTCATAGGTGTCGTGAGTAGAAAAATACTGACATTGTGTCATCAGCTCAATGACATTACATGTACTCACATGATTGAGAAATTTGCTGTCTTTGGTAGCCCATCCTATCTGCATCACTCCCGAAGTAATGACTGTCACTTCATAGTACCAGACTCCAGAGTCGACACAGAACGTACATCTAACACTTTCAAAGGATGAGGCATCACATCGAGCCTACCAAAACCAAATGGAAAACTCAGGTCCTACAAAATTATCATTCAAACAAGCTCCTTCCCTCCCTGGATCAAGTTTCTTGCACATAAGAATGCACCAGCACAATTTTAGAGGCACTTAGACAGAATGTGACCTCTGTTTATAGCAGTAATTGTCACACAAACTAGTGAGGAGGCAAAACTGAAAACTGTTCAGTGGTTAAGCCACAGGAGAAAAAACACAGAAAGTTGACACAGTCAATTTAAAGATTTAAAGACTAAGACAACCAGACAGGAAGACTTAAATCATTGGTTATTAGCTGACTCCTGGTGTGAAGGACACACATCAATGTTAACTCATGAAAATGCACCTGTAAGTAGTCAAACAGGTTTTCAGAAGGAGTTAGAGGAAGGAAAAGCCCCACATGGCCGAGACAAAAATGCCACTGCTCTGAGCTTTTCAAGCTTAGGCAGGACAAACAATAGGATTTGCACTTTGTGAACAATATTGGTCACAATGAGTGAAAAGCCACCTGACTCCTGAGCACCCACTGAGATCGTGTGGTGATGTTACAACCCTCTGACAAAGAAAGATTTCTGTACAAACCTAGCAGAGAACTTTAATTCACTCTTAAAAAAAAAATCACAGGAGCAAATAGCAAACAAAACTACTTAAAACCTGGTTTTTTCTTCAGACTCCTTTTTAGGTTGGAAGCATGAAGTGATATCCTACCTCCAATCCATGGGGTGAGATCTTCAGGTATTCACTGACGTCGTTACTGTTCAGCATAGCCCTAATGTTGGTCAAGTCAACCTTCTCATATGTAAACTGTCTGCCTTCTTTTAAAACTGCAAAATAAAACTAGTTTTAATCACTGCTGCTGTAAAACTTGGTATTAAGCATTTCACACACTGACAATCAATGTCTCCAGGATCCAGATAATTTTTTGGCATAACTGAATGAAATATTGACACTTTGTCTGCATGAAAAGAGTTTCCAACACTGTGTTAAATATCCTCAAAACATGAAAGCACAACCTGTACCTCTGCCTAGAGCTCTCACAATCTAATTACTGCTTTCAGGAAACCCACAGGCAAATGGAAGACATCCAAGTTCACACCAAGATGCCACTGTTTCAGGATTTACCATTGTATTTGTATACTCAAGTTGGGCAGAGGTTTTCTGATTCATCACAGTGGAGCTGACTGGGGGATGGGGAAAGAGGGGAAAACAAGGATTTAAAGGTTTTCACCCTCTCATTTTTAGATTATCAACTTGAACTGAGACAAAGTAGCTCATTCACTCTTCCTCCATCCCCTTTCCACATGGAATGATCAGAAGCATTTCTCTTGCCAGGTGTCAAATTGCTGACACATACATGTCAATTTACAGCTCAAAGACCTTATTTCAGGACCCTTCATATATCCCAAACTTGCTACAACACTTGCACAGATGTTTACTGAACACAGCTGGCATTGGCTCTCCATAAGCTGCCTAAAGCCCCATAAAGCTCAACAGACCTTTTACCCAAATGGATCTGAAAGGCATTAGATGCTATAAGGTCTTAAAGCTGCTGCACCCTTGAAATCACAATAGGCAAATCTGATGATTGTCAGTCATCCAAAAGATAGACCTAGCAAAGTGCTTTGTCAAATTCTTTTCACTTTTGATCACAAGAACTTTGAATCTTTGAAGCCTTGAATAATTCCCCAAGCCCAGGCACTGCTGGGATATGACAGCAGCAGTGACAGTCAGCAGGACTTGTCAGCAACCCAGCTGCTCCACAGAGACAGAGCTGCTCTACTGACCCACTCAGCACATTTACTGAAGTGTAGCTTACTTACAGGAAATTGGTGCAAAGAGAAGTTTTCATTGCAGCTTCAACTTGCAGAGTACAAACCACTTCCTTTCACAAACATTTTCCTTGCCAAAATTTCCTTTCCATGCAATTATACTCAATATACTTGTAAGGTTTTCTTTTTTTAAAGGAGAGTGACTACAAATGCAGTCAAGTATAGTAAGTGCCTATACAAAACAAATACAGAGCAGTCCTCCAGCTCTTTGGAGGAGTGATTACTATGAAATGAATCCATTCCTTCATTATACCTACACAGATTGTCTAAACTCCACTGGGCACAGAATCCAACCTGGCGTTTTAAATAGTCTGGATTATCTGTCCACTTCTCTAGCAAGATCAGTTGGTCACTAATGCAAGATTCAGAAACCGTCATTTTATTTTCACCTGCAATTGAAGAGGAAAAAAAAAGAGTAATTGCTATAAACTAGGGATAAGTTTAGTTAACACAGTAATGTTCTACAAATGCAGCAGAACACACTCCCCCACCTTTACGCCTCAGTATTACAAACAACACGAAATTCTTTCCCCAAGCAGATGTGAAATTAACTTCACACTCAGATTTACCACTTCTCACCAAGAGACAGATCACAGCTGTTCTCCTTCTCTCCAGTACAGATTTACTTCTCTTCAGGTAACAAAGGTCTCATGCCATAAGTCACTATGTAGCAATTTCTAAGACCAGAAGGACTGAGTTCCAGCAAATCTCCTAAGGGTCTGTGGGTGGGGGTGTCATTAAAGCAATAAATGATTTTTCCTGCCTACAGACTCCCAGTCCTAACTGTTCTCCTCCTCTCATACAGATTTGTTTCAGTGACAAAGGCCTCATGTCCCAAGTCCTTCTACAGCAATTTCCAACAGGGAAGAATTGCATTGAGTTTCAGCAAATATCTCTAGGGTTTTGAGGGGTAGAGGAATGTCACTACACTAATACATATTTCTTCTTGCCTCTAAGTGGACAAACATTTCTTATACATTTCTGTTTCCACCAATCTAGTCTGTCATGCTCACAAGTGTAATCAGATAAAGCAACCAGATCATGCAGCAGAAGCCACAGTGTGACTTAAGAGCAGTATCAGGCCAATACTTACTTGTTTGTGCAAACTTCTCCAGTGCTATTAGTGCAAAAAGCATCACTGTCGGATGGGACTGGAAGTTCTAAATGTGGGAAGTAAGAAAAGTTATTTAATACCCATCACAGATGGACAGGAAGAGCCAAGAGTGACACACAATGCTCTGGGTTCAAAGGAACCCCCAAAGCTCCTGCATTCCACCCTCCTGTGGAGAGCTGGTTTGAATAGATCAGGCTACCCAGAGCTTTGTCCCACTGACTTCTAATTATCTCCAAGGATGGACATCCCACAGGCTCTGGAATCTCAGCTCTCCATACCACACACAGTATTTACCAGACATGACCCCAACTTTTCACAATAATCATCAAAAAATAAATTGCATTAGAATTGCTATGTGTGGATACATACAAAAAGATCAAAGACACTTACCAAGCTCTGAAGTAAATATTCCAAGATGCCTGGGCTGAGTAAGCCTATGCTTGCAGGACCTGCAAGAACATTAGGAATGAAATCCATCCATGGGAACTACCACATACTCATCATGACAGATCTTTTCAAGACAAAGTAGCAAATGAAAGAACATCCAACAACATTCACAGCAAAGCAGAGCTATAATACAGAATAATTATCATTGTTCCCAGTAAAATACTTGCTGCACATTTAGTAATGACACAGTTAGTGGCACATTACAGCCCTATTCAGTCTGCCTGCTGTAAATGGGTACAGAGTTGTAGCCTGAGTTGTTCTGAGAGTTTGAAGGAAGACTCCACCAGCCTCCACTTAGCATTTTCATGCTCATTACTTCCTAAAAGAGTGTGTCTCCCCTTTACTGCCAGAGTCAGCATGAAAACACCAACTCCATTTACCAGTAACCCAAAAAAAGCAAAACTGAACATCTGACATAGCCTACTGGATAGTTAATTATACAGTCGCAGTAGCACCATAGCAAGCAGCCAATTTAAAGAAAAAAGCCTTGAAATACTGTCTGCTTCATCAAGAGACACAAGGGAATCAAACTCTGGCATCTATGAACTCTAACAAATTGCAGTGAGTTCCAACACTGCATTAACAGATTTGTTGCCTGAGCTGACACAATGATATCTGTGTCCGCTAAGATAAAAGTAGATAAAGGATCTCATTTTTGACTCAGCATAATAGGGGGGGGACGTATTACAGTACAAAAAAGCTTCCAGCCCTTGTTCCTTGCTTTTTTTGAGAGAAATACAGAAATTTTTAATAATAACAATAATAAATAATACTGTTTTAATAAGCAGTGATACCAGACAATCACTTTTTTTCCTTCTTTTCCTGTCCACTTTCAGAACAACAGCTAGATACAAACCAGAGCACCAGCAGGAAGGAAACTTACTCATCAGTTTCCAACAGAGTACTCGAAATGACAGCAAATAAAAATTCTATATGAAAAGTCACCTTAAAAACAGAATCTCAGCAATTTTCTTTTAAGCAACACAGAATAGAAATCTTTTCAGCTAACTACAATAGAACAAGACATGTCTAGTGGGAAAAGCATCTTTCTTGTTTGTTTCTATGCAGCCTCCAAGTCCACTAATTTGAGGCTCCTGCCTCCTGGCTAAAGAACACATCCTCAGTAACTCAGACAGTAGGTCTAACTATGAGACTGAGTACCAGTGCTAAGGCAACATTCCATAAACAAACACTAATTCCCAATCACTAACCATGCATCAGAAGGATTTGTGAATGGCTCATTCAGAGCTAAGCTAGTGCAAGGTCAACACTTCAATCAAGCAGCTCCTGTCACACCAGGTCTCCCCTCGATGCAGAACATTATTCAGCTCTAAGGAAACACTTGTGACCCGGTCTGCATCATGAGTGCTAAAGCAGAAGGTGCTGCAGTGAGCCAAAGAGCAGCTGTCAGAAGAACCCCATGGCTTTACCTGCTAACTTCTCTGCTAAGCAGCCGAGGACTGCAGTTGTGTTCCGGTGCTTGGCAGGGTGACAAGCATCCTGGCAAGCAGCAGCTCCACTTAAGTTTAATATTTCAGTTAACTTTTGTAATGCATCCTGAAAAATAAAAATCAGAAATCTCTTCAACATTACTGACAGACACAGTTTCCTCTAATTCCATATGGTACAACAAACCAACTTTACACTATGTCACTAAAGTCAGTGTCACGTTACAGACAGCATGGGGTGCTTATGTGCTATGGTAAGAAGGTAATAAAGACAAGTTCAACAGACCCAAGAGCTGCAGCTTTAAAATTCCCACCAGATTGTTGGTCATTGCTGTGATCAACAGCTCAGGACACTTCTGGACTAAGTGAGCTCCTCATAGCAACAGGAGCTGCTAGAGTAGACAAAGGCAAACAAAACCAATGACCACTACTGTATTCTAATCTGTTTCCAGTGTCCTGGAACTCATCCCCTTTCCAAAAGAAAAGGGCTGTTTCAGACTAAAATTCAGGACTCAATAGACATGCCCCAAAAAAGAGGCCACATCCCCATCATACATTTAGGATGTTTTCAGCCTTACAGGATGTCATAAATTGTATTCGTGAGAGCATAAATGGCTTTCTGTAGTCACTCTAATTTAGGAAGTAACCAGAGAGGGTAATAAATCTAAACTGACAAGCTTTGACCTGCTTTGTTCAGGCAGTAATGGTGTGGATAAAATTCAAGGTAGATCTAGAGCATACCCTGCATCCTCAGAGCCGTTAGGGGTTAATCTAGAGTCTGAACAAGTCATCCCACAGGGAGAACCCCACCCAGAGTTCCAAATCCTCCTCAGCTTTCCAGACTTCATGAAAGTTTCAGCTGATTCATATTGAAACTGCATGATCTCAGGCGAGGACCTAATTAAAACAGAAGAGCTCCTCATATTGAAGTCATCAGCAGCCATTTGGAGGAGAAATGAGTACTGCTCAGGCTGAATAGATGTGTTTTTCTGAATTGTGTTCCGAGCCACACTCAAATCAGTTTACTGTGCTAGTCTGAGGTCTGTACAGAGGTCACACTGAAAAGCAGTTATGTTCCCAAAAGGAAAGCCACAAAAACAGAACTGATGAACAGGACTGAGCTAAGTGGAAAGAACAGAGAAAGAAGAAAGAATGACTGAGCCAGACTTGGGATGAAAAAGCCTCACTAAAATTAGACTCTTGACATACTCTGATACTGCTTTTAGCCATTATTAGAACTGCCACAGAGATCAACTATTTTGAGTTAAATAAAGACTTTATAGAATAAACAGTTTACTGCACTGCCTTTTTAACTTTATGGACTTTATAGCCTGCAATAACAGCAAATGAAATACAGCCTGCTGCTGTTCCCCAGCTGTCCTGGAAGTGGGGCACTGACTTAAAATCTTTCAGACCAAAAACTTAGCACTTAGCCTGAATAGAAGGTGAACAGCAGCAGAGCTTTATTAGGCTGCATGTGACCAGCAGATCCCACAACTGCAGCTCCTCACGCTGTGAAGAGACTACCCAGAAAAAATCCTCTGTGCATCCCAGAAAACAGGCACCTTTTTACCTTTTGTCTTGATAAGGTCAACTATTTTATAGCAAAATCCTTAAAGTACCTAAATAAAAGTCATGAGGCTTTCAAAAAATGATCATTTGATTGCCAAGTGCATTGCACAGCCAAACAAAAAAAATCCCAAATCACGTTTCATATGATGCATTCACAGTGGTCTTCATTTCCTGACTTCTTTTTTTAAAGCAGGCAAAGTTTCTAGTCATACCTTTATTTTCAAGACAATCTTGTAAGCTATGCAACAGTTATAATACATTTATCTTGTTCAAAAGTCTTAGATGACTAATCAAGAGCCTAAAGGAAACAGACCCACTTTGGGTAGCTCGAGAGCTTAACTAGTTCTCTGGCCACTCATGCAAACAGCTTTTTATATCCCTAACAATTCCAAAGAAAAACTAAAATAGGCAGCATCATTAGCTTGGGGAATGAAAGCTGCAATGATGTCATCATCAATTTCTTATGAAACAAGATCATGACAAGCATTTGAAAACAGACAAGTTCTCTGTACAATCATTAGCAAGGGTTAGCATCTCAAACATTCGCAGCTCTAACACACTTGTACCAACACAGTATGAACACCTCAGCTCATCTTTCCACCCAGAAGCAGATTAATGGTCAGCAAAAAAAATAAAATTGTCATTTGGCAAAATTGTATATAGATATTCCTTAGTTTAAAAAATGCCATTTGTTTAACTTAACACACCCACTTGTGCTGCATTCCTTGTGTGCAGGGCAGGAACAGACTCAATAGTGACTTGTAACCACACAAGGAGAGAACAAAGGGGCAGAACTGCTACAGCTTTGCAGCACCTGCACACCCTCCCTGCACTGCAGAACACAGCACATGGCAGAGAGAAAGAGGCACAAAAAGCAGCCGAAGACCAAAGGTCTCTTGTTCTTTCCCACGGACCAGATTTATCTTTCTCCCCCCTTTTCTTCTTCCTTCCTACCCCCAAAGTGGTGAATGCTTCAGGCATTAATTAGCACCTAGATACCAAGTCACCACAAGTTCCTCAGAATGTTACACCCATTTTCCGAGGCACTAGCAGTCTTGCATCACTGGTGAAACCCACCCAGAAGCGACCACGGGTGTGGCAACCACGAATAACTGACATTCAGCCACAGATGAACATTCACTTTCCACTCACTTTTGTTGGCAGAGGACATTCATCAAGTAGTAGCGTTATAACAGCTGGTCCCAAGGGATCTTCTAATGGAATAACTCTAATTAAAGATTGGACAACTTCCAACCAGCCTTCATCTGTCAACCACAAAACAGAAGTAATGCTCAGAATCAACACTGCAATCCCCAAGGGTTCAAAATACATCCCTGAACATAAACTGAAAAATCCTCAAAATTACCCAGTGAGTTTACAGACACTACGAAGAACAGGTTACTTTTTACACCCCGTCTTGGTTTGCAGTAATTTACAAGTTTAAATTCAAGAAGAAAAAAGTTTATAGCAGCTTGGGGTAATGGTGAACATCTCTGCTGTTTGGAGAACAGTCACACCCAGGCCAGAGCATCCTTCACTTCCTACTACTAATAGGAAGAATTACTCATGGTAGTATGGACATGCACTTTGCTCCAGTGTGATACTCAGAGTTCAGCACCCAGTGTCAACTAGTAACTGTTAAATACTGTATCCACAATGACAGTGAGGAAATATTTCTTCTAACCAGTATCAGATCACTCCTCCTGAGTTCCCCCATGGGCCTCAGAGAAACACTATGAGCTTGTCCCATACCTCCTGGTCTAAAGAAAATTTGTTTTCCTAAGGAACAGCTTTCACTGTTTAACAAACAGACAAAGGGCTTTTACTTGTAAGCAAACAATAATTCACATATAAGATGTTAAACTACTAAAGTAAACAGATTTGGATTTACAGGAAAGTGGCTCCCTCAGAAGTGAAAATAAAGAGTCTGTGTCTGCACACAGGCGAGTGAGGCTGAAGTGACAGCACTGCCTTGAAGTACATAGCAGTAACACACTGAAGCTTGAGTTCTGTTAGCACATTTACCTGAAAAACAGTGCACTGAATTGCTGTAATATCTAACTCGGTTGATTAATTTAATAAATTAATATTAATTTATAGAAATATATTTCCTAAGACCACTACTAACTCTACTAGTAGACAAAAATTCAGCTAAACCAGAAGTTTGGTGAAGTTCTCCTACTGTAACAGAGCTAAAACAACCTTGCACAAACATGGCTCATCTTGCAGGAGCACTTTGGGACAGTGTTGGAACAAATACATCAGTAATTAGAGGTCTAAGGTCAGCAAAACCCAAACCAAAAAGTACCTTAGCTGCCAACACTGGGGCATGTGAGCTTAAACCATGTCTACGTGCACATATAGGCTGTTCCTGTCTTAACTGCAAACAGCCACTCTTTGTGGTTATGGTTTAATGCCACCACAGTGTCTATGGACATCTGTTGGCTGTTTCTGGAAAGTTCATGTGAGAACTTTAACCAAGTCAAAAAAAAACCAACTCAGGCAAATGCAGTGAACTCAGTGAAGCTTCTGAAGGGCAAAACTGTGTTTTGAATCCCACATCCCCAGAGCTACAGCAGGTTGTAACACATACTACTAGCATGTATTTCTCCTTTGCAAAGAAAAGATGGTTTGGGGGGGTTGTTGCTTGTTTTGCTTGGAAGTCACAACTGAAATGCCCAACACAATGCCTTGATACCTGTTTCTGCCATTTCATGCAACGTGATCATTGAATAAGGAGGCTCCTGGTCACTGAAAGAGATATTACACAGGTCAAAATTTATGCACAATCATCAATGTAATACACTGAATAAAATGATAATACCCAGACAGAAAACCAATCCAGTAGCTATTTAACAAGAGGAAGTTGCACAGGCTGCTAATGCCATTTTCAGATCTGAAAGACCGATGGGATTTGAGCCCCTCTGGCTCAAAGTCAACATCTGCATAGCTGCAACAGCTGGTAAGTGAAATGGTGATCCACAGCTGCATGCCTAAAAGCTGAACATAATGCTATGGCTTAGTGCTGTTCATTAGCAGAGTTCCTCAGAGTACAGCACGAGAGACTGAATATCAGAGGCCACGAAGGGAACCAGCAGCAGTGCACAAGGAGCTTCTCTTCAATAGCATTTTCCCCCAGAAATTCTCTGTGAAATATAGAAATATTAAACAAAAGCAAAAACCAACCAAAACCAAAACACAAAAAATCCCCACAAAACTGGAAGGCAAGTCACCTAACAGCATCATAGCCCTCAAAGTCATTAACAGGAGCTGTTAAGAAATAGTTAAGGCAGTTGAACAGAAGATATTTAACCCAACCCCTTTCCAACGTGACAACCAACAGATCAGCTCCTCAGTCTGGTTTGCTGAGCAAGGACATGAAGCTATGGCCACATCTGTGTATCTGAGCAAAAAAAGCCATTTTGTTAATTTCTTAATTTGCAAAGCAGTTCTTCATATAAGCTCCAAAATGTAGAATTTATCCTTCTGAGTCTGGAAATTACACTTAACTCCTTTTGATAAAGCCAAAGGAAAAAAACAACCCCAAGAAAAAACAAGCAAATAGCAAACACAGAAAGCAACTGTTCATTGCAGATCACAGTGTAACAACTTAACATACAATTCATCTCAGTGTTCCCATGTATTAACTTTCAGTACAGAGTTGAGAAAAAAAAATTTCAGATAGAGTTTTGCCTTCCATTCTTTAGCAATCTTTTCCTCCAAAACCCAGATTACCAATCTGCTGCTACTTACATACATGGTTTTACTTTAGTTTGCCTTTAGTCTTGCATTATCTTTGACATGAAAATAGATTTGTCCACTTCCCTAACAAAACTGAAAAAAAAAAAAAAGAAATCAGGCTCCATGAGGCACAGGGGATCATAGAACATACTTATTCCTACAGTTTCTCACTTACACTGGAAACCAAGATCTCCAGACATGACTTTTTTCCCCTCCAAGTGAGCACTCCTATTAATCTAAAAAGGACTATCATTAGCTTCAAGTCTAGCAGAAAGGCTTCTTAAACCTTCTTCAGACATATTTAGATAGTTTGCCTCATGAACAGACCCTCCATTATTCATAGCCACAGCTCTTGGTCTTATCTGTAAAAACTTGCAATATTCAGCTGTGTTGTAAAACCAGCTGCCAACTGGCTCAGTACAAAACAAAGGAAACCAGTATGCCAGTACAGCCCACCTCTGGGCTCCCCAGGACAAGTCAGACACTGCTGTAAGGGAACAGGTTTAGCAGGTGGCTTCCAGGACGGTTGAGGGCTGGAGACCATGATGTACAAATAGAAGCTAAGAGAAATAAGGTCTGTTCAGCCCCGAGGGGAGTAGTGGACAGGAGGAGAAATCAGATTGCTGTCTGCAGCTATGTAATGGGAAGGCTCTTCTGAGAGATGCACAGCAACAGGACAAGAGGCAATAGGACTCTGTTGGAACATGGGAAATTCCAACTTTTAAAGGTATTATTTAAATCATGGAGGTGGTTAAACACTGGAACAGGGACCCAAAGAGGTGAAGAATTTCTTTATTCTGAGGATGCTCAACACTTGACTGGATAAAACCCTGAGCCACCTGCTCTGGCTAGACCTGGGGTTTAATCAGGAGCTGGAGTGGATGAACTTCAAGACATCCTTTCCAACCAATGCAATTATACAGCTCTAGGAAAGAATTTCACTAGAGCCTGTGTAAAAAGAAAAATACAGTAGTTTTAGGAATTTGTTAGAAACAGGACTCCAGGGGCAGTGAAATAGCTATGCTTATTGTCCCTCAGCAGCATAGGAAAGTGCTTTACAAGATTACAAAACTGATTGCAAGACCCACAGGAACAGGATCAACTATGCACCAAAGTGTTGTGAAACAGCTTAAGGAGCTGAACTTGGGGGAAAGGCGAAGGGCATGGGAGATTAGGCAGAGACTTTTTTGAAAGTTTGCCGTGAATTTAACTTAATGATTTGAAGACAGACCACAAAATAAAACCTTTTAAAAAACCAAACACACTCCCCTTAGATTTAAATGTTCATGAAAAACATCAGTCCTGGTATTTCCATTTGAAGCATTTTACAGCAGGAAGGCAAACTCCTCCTCTGGATGCACATTCCATGAAGGTATAGGAATCAAGGCTCACTTACTCTGAGCCTCATCCACCTTAAACTCAAATCCCAGCTGCAAAGCTAGAATAGTGTTTTTCCTTCTGTTCTGGTCTTTCCAATTCCTAGCCTGCACCCAACCCAAAAGGTGATGAGCTAACATAACTCATCATTTTTGAGGTCCTTTTAAAGCTTTGTAGAAAGCCACACAAACCCAAAGAAATAAGGATGAACCCATAAATATCCCACACACCCTTAATGGACGGTTTGAGCATGCAAGGAATGCAATACTGGGATTGAAAGTTGGGCAGTCACAACATGTGGTTATAAAAAGTAGTCAGACTTATAACTGGAAAGAAAACCTCAGTCTGTTTATCCAGGCTAACAAAGATCAAAGCTCTTGGTTTTGCTTAACCATTTCCAAAGAAGTAAATACAGCCTGAAAACAGAAAACTTGCACAACAACCAATTTTTAGGACAGAGGTTCCCAAACTCTGGAGTGTTCATTGCTTCCTAAACTGTGTATCTGTGACAGGTAAGAAATATTGAGCATACTCCTCATCCCACCTGGGTGTAGGCCCATACAGGAACTATGAGAAAGCTGCTCAGCTCCTGCAAGAGGCTGTACCTGGGCACTCAGGAGCTACTTCTATTACCTAGGAAAGGTGCTCCTCTCCTAAGCCTCCAGCTGGAAACACACGGCTGCTTCAGGGAGGGTCAGGTGTAGATCGGTGAGAGGATGGAGCCACAGTTTGAGAGGAGACAAGAACATTTTCATTCATGTTGAATTATTCCTTGAGGAGGTACTTACTTATCTACTAACGTCCGAATTACAGCCAGTGTGTCAAGTACTAGCCCATCCACATTCTGTTTTTTCCTCCTTGGTTCATGGGGCCCTCGACCCCTCCTGGGTGGACGGACAGGGTCCCTTGGGTGGCTTCTTGCTTCAGGTATATGTGCTCTGCTGTTCTCCGTTTGCCGACCCTGAGATTCCACATTGTCTTCTGCTCCGCTGTCATCACGGCAAACACATGAGTTTCCCATGTTTCCAGCCCCCAAGGCTCCCACTACACGGGGAATGTGGTGCTCTAGAGTCAACAGCAAACCTTGAAAAAGGCTTCTGCTAGCATAGAACACAACCAAAGCAACTACAATCATCTAGGAAGTTTTAAGAGAAATGTTTGTGTGATCCTGAATTGTGATCTCTTTGCATTCTAAGTGTTGCTACCAGCTGGAATGAATGGGAAGTTGGAGACTTAAGTTGCCGATACAATCGCTTAAAACACACGTTGGTCATCCAGGAGGAGGTCTGAAAAAGCAAAGCCAAAACAAGAGTCAGTGTTACTACTGCTGGTGAATAACAGAATTCCTATTTTAGCAAACAGGATCAGTCTTGGTGGATAAGGCACCTAGGAAAAACATAAGGCTTGTCCCTGAGGTCTGTTGTGGAGAGAGGGAAAGGAAGGAAGAGGAGGAAGTTCCCTTGGTAAGCAGCTCTCACCCATGCACCATTCCTTTCTACACTCCCTATTACTTCCCAATTCTTTCATAGTTTTTGGATGCAGAGGAACAAGTCTGCCCTTAAGTCTAGCACACTGCTACCCTTCAAGGACAAACCAGTTCCATTTACAGAGCCATACTGCTTACACCACCCCAATACAGGCTGCACATTTAAGGTTCTCATTTCACAGCAGAATATTCAGTATCAGTTCCCCAAACAGACTCTACAAAATATACAAAATTGTAAAGAACTAATCTTACAGTTATGGTCTGTCTCAACAAACAGTAGATTTAACAGAATTATTTAGTCCATCTGTGCATAAACACATCATTTTGGAACGTGCCTACATGTGCTGGACTCTCACCCAACACAGCACCAAGTACCAGCCCTGAAATAAACAGGAATGACAGAGACCATTTTAATGCCTACAAATCTAACTGGGAGTTTGAAAGGGGTGTCATATGCTTGTTCAGATCTAGCACCAAACCAATCTTCCCTTTTTGGAATAAAAACTAATTCAATCATCCTTTTGTTCTGGATTCGAATGGTTTGGATCACACACAGGCCCAGTAGCAACTGAGATCGTAGGGCAGTCCCTGCAAATCATTCCACTGAAAATGCAAGAGAAAAAGGATTCAAAGCCTCATTTCATTGCTACTTAGGTTTCAAGCCTTAGGGCATATTTCTATAGAACATTACATAAATTCTGAGGTAAAATAAAGCCCTACAGAAGACATGATTTCACTTACATACTTGAAGCATGTCAGAATAAGTAAGTAACTTTTATCCTTTTAAGATTCAAGTTTAACACTTACACTAGAAGTTATGGTGAATATCCTGTATTAGTTTATTACTATTCCACAATCATTAAATCCTGTATTTGACAGCAGACATGCAGCACCACAGAAAGAACAGAAAGTCAAAGAGAGCTGACACCTTTCAGATATGAAAGGCCTCACCATCAGAGCCAACTGGCACTGTGCAATTCCTGGCTGCCATTTCGGACAAGACCACAACAACATTATTTGGGAAGCCAGACACTAGTCATATGAGCAAGTCTCAGGGTGTCAGCTGTCATGGAACAGCACTGCAAACAAGCTCTCCAGGCTCTTCTGTAGTTTGAGGTACGTTACCTTATTAATAAACATTTCACTGTGCTAAAAATCAACTGAAGACTAAGAAAAAAAATTAATGCCTCAAGGGATATTAATTGCAAAAACAACCCAAGATCTTGACTTCTTGTTCAAGAAATTCCTGAACCACAGATCATTCAAAGGGTTTCAAGCATCACATCATGCTTGCCTCACACCCTAGGGCAATTGTCCTTCTATCTGAGCCAATACAGCTGTTTTCTTCTCAGTCAGCAAGATCTGAGGTGCCAGTACAGTTTGCAAGGATCTCAAACAGAATTGGGTAAAATCACAAGTGGTTCAAATGACTTTTTAAATAAAGAACTAGTTATGTTGAATGCAAGACATGCCTTCCTAGGGAAAAAACCATTATGTATTTATGAATCTAGATCATTTAAGGGCATTTTAGCAAGAAAATACTAAAGTGTAAAAATGCTACAGATTTAGAATCTGAATTAAGCTGTTCTGTAGCTTATGAAAATATTAACAGAGTGAATCTATCTTGTCACCAAAACACGTATGGAAAAAGCTGTATTTTAGGGATTAGCATCGAGTAAGAACCTACCTAAAGAAACAAAACAAGACATAAATCAAGATTCAAACTGATTATTGAACCCTAGGGTTTTCTGGTTGACAACTTAAAAGGATGATTAAGAACAAGTGATTATGATCAACTCACCTCTAAGTTTGCTTGGTTCAGAAACAGTTGGGGTTGCTCAAAGTGCTGTAGGAGAAGTAGACAGTGCTTCTTCAGGGCACAGGCAAAGTCACAGCTGGAAAAAGCAGCACTCTCAGCCTTTATGGTGAGCAGTGAGTCATTACGGCTGACTCTGCTTTCACTTCAGGAACTATGCTGAAGAGTCCCTGAAGACAGATGGAAAAGAAAGAACAATTCACTTGGAAACTGCCTCTAAGATGCTCCACCTCCTCCCTACACCCTCCATGACATCAAGCCACGTTGTTAATTTCAGCTACATCCAGCCTTTACAGGGGAATTCTCTCAGGGCTTTGAAAACCAGTTTGTCATCTACTAGCTGTAGGACTAGAGACAGATACAGAAAACCCAATCAGCCTTGGTATTCCAGACACCACAGCACCAAGTGCAGAGCAGTGACCAACTCCTCCCCTCAAATTACTGCTTTCAGGAGGAAGAAAAGTAACAATATCTGCTCCAGATCACCCTCAAGTAGAGACAGGAGAAAATAAAAGTACTATAAAAGTTGATTAGATAACAGGGAGACATGACAGGATAAACTCCCCTTACTTAGCCAAGAGCCGAGTCTGACAACATTCACTTGGCTGTTGCTCACCATCATGTACAAGGAGCTCATTGTCAAGCCTCAAACAAACTGAAAGGCTAAACAATTAAGAACATAAGGTAGAAGAGGAGATTGCTACAGATCTGCCTCACAAACCAGCTTGTCTGCACCGAGTATGAATGCATGAAGAGACGTTGTGAAGTGCAAAGAAAAAGCTTTTTAGAGGTTTTCCTGCAAACAGTGATGTACCAGATTGCACTGGAGCTGCCACACTTTGAGGACATATTCACATTCTAACAAACTACTTCAGCATGAGCCTGCTGGTGGCCACCCTGACTCCCTCACTGTCCCTGCTGAAGTAAAGGGGACAGAGACATCAAACCTCACTTCAGGTCAGTTGCATAATGGAATGTGGAATGCAGTAGGGAACAGGAGTGATCAGCTCTGCTCCTTTCCAAACTCTCAGACCTCAGTGGCACACCCAGCACACAAAAACGTTTTGCATATATGAAAATGAAATATATTGTTGCTGCAAGAAAAGGTAACAATCACTGCATATGGGGATGGAACGAGGTTTTAAGATTTAACTTCAAGCCTAATTTTCACAAATTGCTGCTCTCAAGAACAGCTGGACACAAAACTCCTTTTTTTCTCACTCCAAAAATCCTCAACACTCTACTTGCAAATATTGTGAAAACGGGATTTTTTTAAAGACTGTCTAAAAGAAGAATAAAAATTCAAGTAGCAAAACAAGAATACCACCACAGCAGCACTGAGATAGGCTGAGATAAGCCTCCTGTCCGACCTGGCACAGACACTCTGAGCTGGGCACAACAGTGAGCACACAGAACAGACAACAGGCACTGGCCTGAGAGTCAATAGCTCAGTCTCCAGAGACAAAGCCTGCATGTTTGTTTTGCTGTTAAAACACAGCTAAGGAAAAGAACTAATCTTTCATAATCCATTTAAATTCTTTTTCAGTAGTTGCACAGCTAAGGGTCTCTGCAACTGCTTTTAAAATTCAGCAGTCTTCCATGACAAAGCTGTGACTGTTAGCCAAAGTGTACTAGTTTTCATAAAAGTTCTGCTACTGGAGGATTTAGTGTGGGTTGTGAGTTACCTTCAGTGTTTTAGTATCATATCAAACCACTCTTTAACCCAAATATGTTGTGAGCTAACAACTAAGTCACCTAAGCAACAGCACAAGAATAAAGAGCAGTTTCCCTGGAAGTCTGCTGGAACAGAAACCTATTGCCTCCTGTCAGAGCTCCATGACATCGTGCAAACACCACTTTCTTAAGCAATTTGTGCAAGTCGGAGTAGAACTGCAAGTCTTCAGATGAAGTAACTCTGCATGAAAATACCAGCAAGAGCTAAGCTACAGCATAGAAAGCAAACAGGCTCTCCATGTTAAAAGCTGTGACCTCTTCCCTGAGATTAGCTAGGTTTTGTGCCATTCACACACACTACAACGCTGGAAAGCCCCATCCCAGCACTTGCCAGAGGAATATTCTTTGACAAACTGAGGAAGTGATAACAAGACTATAAAAGCTGACCATAACAGCAGGGAGATTTATAAGAGTGATAACACTTCTATTTGACTTTTAAGTGCTATTTTAATAAAAGCTTGGCCCCATATTTGTAAGTGCAAGAAATGGCAAAGGCAGCAGCCACTACCTGCTTTTCAACAGGGCCATCCGTTCACTCGGAATTCTGACCACCAGGTGTTGCCTTGGGACACAGGACTACAAGGTTGCCAAACATATGATCAAAATACAAGCTTCCGTTCTATAAGAAGTACCTGGTACTGATACCTCTCACTGAACAGTTGCTGTGGGAGCAGCACTGAATGCCCATGCCTGACACCACCTCCTCTACAGCAGAGAGCACCTGCAGGACACTCACCAAATGATCAACCCAGCACATCTTGCCCTAAACAAAGCACCAGGATCAGGTGCTGCTGGAGCTGCACTCCTTCCCTGCCCAGGAGAAGAGACGCTGCTGGGGGAATGCCACAGCCTTCCGTGTCCCTGCACACCTCCACCATGGGCCATCCTCACTACAGCAAAGCTGCTACTCTCCTGGCAGACTCCAGCACACACACATGGACGCACAAAGGGCTTTCGAGCTCCACAGACTGACCAGTCTGCCAGGGTTGGAAGTCCAAGTGGGAAAGATGAAATCACCACCCATGAGGCAAATGCTATGTGAGTGGACTCGCACCTGGCTGGCAGTGCAGATGCCCAGCCAACCCCAGAGGGGCCTCCT